TCTATTTTGCTGAGTTTGTGCAGAAGTCGTTGATGTGGGACGCTATCATATGCCTTTCTGAAGTTGATGTAGAGGTGGCTCCTGATATTTAATATATCCGTATGTATAGTCCTATGTTTGTACTCTGAACGGGACTGCAATAGACGAATTGGACACATACAGATATAGGTATTTCGACAGCTTCAAATCTACTGTCCTCTGAACATTGTAAAAGGGCGTTCAAGAGGCAACGAGAGTCAGGCCTTGGATCAGAAGTGCTTTCATAGCGTTTCCGCCCGAACTGTTTGCGCAGTTTTTCAGTATTTTCGTTCGACCACAATTGGAATATGAAATTTCAATGTTGATGCCGCGGATAAAGAAAGAAAGTGATCCGATCTAGGAGGTGCAACGAGGAACAACAAATCTGGTGAACGGTCTTAGTACTCTGGCTTACTTTGAAAGATGGATTTAGCTTAACTTATTTCCCCTATCCTATTGAAATGCGACCTGCTAAGCATTTATATTGTATCCTTCATGGACATTCGTGTACGTCGAAATCTTAGAACTTATTCGTGTTTACAAAAACGACGCACCTGCGCGGCCACCCGTACAAGGTCAAACGCGAATGCAGACGCCTAGATACACGCAAGTTTTCCTTCAGTCAGGGGATGGTCCAACCGTGGAATTCTCTCCCAAGCGAAATAGTGACATCGGATGCTGTTACTGTGTTCAAACGACAGGTGGATTACTTAATTTTTGATAACTGAGACCTCTCACTGCAGGACTATCTCCGGCCAGCCATGACATTTACTTCGTGATTTTAGATTATATGTATTGCACCAGTACATATTTGCTATAACAATGATTATGAATACCTTACGCCAGGGGTCGGGAACGTATGGCTCGCGAGCCAGGTGTGTCTCTGTTAGTGATTGAATCTGGCCCTCTCAGATAAAATTGGAATTAGAAACTTCAGATTTTGTGATTTAGGTTCCTCCAATGACGTGCCATGGAGGCTCATTATACTCATATTTAACTCAATTTAATCTTAAAAATATATTATATGGCTCACTGAAATATAATTCAAAATATATGGTTTCGTTCTGAGTCAAAGAGGTTCCCGACCTCTGCCCTACACTGACTATACTTCATGCTCTTTATATCGCTGCGATTTTAACCCGACTGTACACTAATAGAATGATCAAGGGTTAACGCCCATAACCCTCAAAATATACATAAATACAGAAAAAATTATTTCTACTTATGATTTATTTTAAAACGATCATATTCAAAATGTTTATTCTCGCTGAAACATGTGAAATTATTTTTCATAAATGGGGTCATCCGAGGCTCTACCTGCAACCATTCAGATTAAAGTACAGGCTGCATGAGGCGAATTTCAACTGTTGTTTCCAGAATACGGTAATCGGTGATGTACATTGAACCGTTCGACCTATACCTCTCCCTCAAATGCCGGGTGCATTGAAGTTACTCACGAGAAAAACAAGTCGAATGTCGACCTCACTTATGTTCTGCAGCGGACAAGTATCTAAGTCAGGGTCTGCCTTCGGTGGTATATAGTCATGGATTCGAAGGTTTGCAACCGCCATGCCATTATAGTCAGGCAAACATCCCCGCTTCCCTTTTCCTTGCTGCTTCCTCTTCATTCTTGAGAACAGATTATTTTGCAGTTATGAACTGTCATTTAACGTTTACTGAGGTTGAAGACT